TCATTTACTTGCAAGGAATGTATCTTGGTAAATACACACTTCAGGTAAAGATAAGGCCAGCAGTGGCACAGGAAGTTCAAAAGAGTAGGTTATGAGGGGTTAAGGGAAATCATCACCTCTCTTCCAGATTATCCATGAAGGATTCCTAAAAGTGAGAGTTTAGAAGCTGCTGGAGTAAAAGAGTGGAGATTAGACAGTAATTCTTCACTTCAATAGGTCCTTGGATAGTGTGACTTTAAGCAAAACGACATTTGAGGAAACCAGTTTCGCCAGACACTAACTGATATAAACAAGAGTTAAGTTCCTACAACATATTTCTGGTCACAAAAACATCACCAAACTTCTAAATAAAGACTCAAATACTTCTAATATTAAACTTTTAAATAAATGTGAGCTATATACACATTTAAGAAAGATGAATAAAAACAAATAAGATCATTCTTTGGCAACCCATTCATTCCAGTTCAGGGTCACAGATGGCTGGAACCTATTCTGGCAGCTCAGGGTACAAGGTGGCACCTGCCCTGGGCAGGACGCCCTTCCAACACAGGGCCCCTCCCGCACACACCCACACTCACTCAGACTGGGACCATTTAGACACACAAACTAACTCAACGTGCACATCTTTGGGATGTGGGAGGAAACTAGAGTTCCTGGAGAAAATCCATGCAGACATGAGGAGAACATGCAAACCCCATTCAGATTGTGGCTCTGGCCGGGATCGTCAACATTATAACAGAATGACATTGAATGAAATGATGTTATTTGAGGACCTGATGTGGATGGACTGACTCTGGGGGGAGGGGCAAGAAAAGAGTAACATGGTATTTTGGAATGGGCATGTTCCTGACGTAGAGGGGACAAGATTAGGACAAGAAAAAGAAGAGGTGGGCACGAAGGTGTAAAAAGAAAACAAAACAAAACAAAACAAAACCCTGGAAAACTAATCTAAAACTTCAGTGTTTTCTTCAAGTAACTTAACAGTTGGAACGGATATCCTAGAATCCATTCTTGTACTAGAACACTTTTAAGAGCTGAAAAAGAAGTAAATATGCAGACTGAATGCAATCGTCCCATTTCGGGCATATTAAAGAAAAGAAACTCATATCAAGACATATTCCAGTGAAATTTTTGAAATATAAGAATACATTTTAAAATTCTATTAGCACCAAGGCAGGAGAAAAAAAATAAAAAACTTACAAAGAAATAACCATCGGGGTTACTCCAGAGGTTTATGCTCTAAAAGCCTAGAAGAACATGGATTAATTGCCACAGCCACACTGTTTTGAGAGAAAGGATGGTGACCTGAGAATGTAAATCCAGCCAAATCACCGTCCCAACATAAAAGCAAATGCTCTGTGTCTTAGGTCAGGTTCTCTGAGACCGAGACCGCATACCTGGCATGCAGGAAGTGTACTGGGAAGCGTGCTTCAGAAAGACACCTACGGGGAGTGAGGAAAGCAGAATTAGGCAGAGGAAGGAGTTGAGCTGCAATAATTCGCTATTGAGACCTCTGCCAATCCCACAGGGGGCTCTGGAGCTGGGATGGCCCCTTTAGAGCTTTCTGAAATTGAGGCAAGGTAGGCCTCATCCTCCTGTGGTGACAAGTAGTGGGATGGGCTGTCCTGGAGCACGAGTGGCCCTGGCCCAGGAAGCCCTTCCATTTAAGGCAATTTTGATAGGGTCTCCCCTGCAGCTGAGGAACGAGAACCTAAGTCCTGAAGGAACCTCAGTGGCATCTTTAACATCACCTTGCTAAAAATAAAGTTTTACCTGAAGGTGTACTCTGGCCAGTTAAGGGATGACTATGACAATATAAAAAGACAAGAGAGTTTTTCAAACTCATTTTTAACCCCAACCGGTTTGGCTATGTATTTCAAAGCAGCCGTGGGGCAAAGATTGGTCCCTGGGTTTCCCGTCTTGTTCTCGTATTTGGTCCTAGAAATGCCTGGTGGAGTCTCCTACTACGACTGATGGCCACTCAGAAGAGCAACTGGTACGTTTCCCTGAACAAAGGCTCATCTGTTTACAAGGTTAGAACACTGTACTGGGAAGATTAGCAAACCGAAAGACTTTCACTTCTCTCGCAGAAAAGCAAAATTAGATATAGCGAAAACAATGACCATGTTTTGGAGAAGGACTTTAGTGATGATTTTCTGCATCTATAAAACCCTTCCTGAGGATGGCATAATTCTATTTTCACATTTATACTGTACTATGCTGATCTGAAGGGGCTGCGGAAGGAGAGAGAGGGAAGTAAGATCTCACCTTTTATTTCATACTCTTTACAGTGTATATAAGGAAAATAACCATCAAAATTATTTATTTAAATCAACCACCAAGTTGATTTGATTTCTCTTTGTTCTTATCAAGGAAAGTCTGATGAACTCGATGGTAATCACTGTTTGTCATTGAGCCTTTTTTCATAATAACCTTTACCTACAGCTCATGGATGTTTCTCTATTAACTAAGTGCAAAAAGTACATACAGAGTGATCTCAACTGCACACGAACATAAGTGAACAAAAAGAAAGACTGATTGCAAAGCCTCTCTTAGAAGTGAAAATTGGAGTGATTTAAACTTTTTAATTTACATTTTTTTTTGCATTTTTGAAATCGTCTTCGATGAATATGTATTATTTTTATAATTAAACAAAATAGATGCTATTACAAATCAGTGACTGCACGTATACCTTAAGAACACAAATAAAATAAACCAAAATATCATCTATTATTATTTCTGAAGAAAGAGAGTAGAATAAGAAGTGATATTTTTTATTTTTTCAGTGTTTTGGTTATTTGCTCACCATTTTTTTTGTATTTTATAATGAAATTTTAAAATGCATTATTTCCTTGAAGAGCTCAGAGAAGTTTTTATTGTTTAGTTTTTAAACTAGGACAGCACCTACCACCTCTTCATTTGGCTAACAAGTCTTTTGGAAATTTCTTCTTACTTAGCCTAAATTCCTACTGCTACCATTTGTGTAAGGCAGGCATATCCAGCAGTCACGCTAGAAATACGGATGCTACCGAGATGATTTGGGTCTGAGGGGTGGGGGCAAGTCACAAAATCCCTAATTCACTCGTAGTGGTAGAGGGAGAAAAAGGGTCTCTTCAGGGTGGAAACCTGCGTATGGTCAGATAAAACCTCCCTTCTTCCCGCCATCTAGACTTTCCCAGGGGGCTCTGTCTGACCTGGTCCCTAGGGCATGAGCTGTAGTTACAACAGGTTTCTACACCCAAGTCGCAATCAGTCAGCAGGAGGGGGTGGGGCAGGGGGAAAACAAAGCAAATGGCCCATTCGTACAATGGGAATAAAACAGAGCCCCTGCCCCCACACTAATTCCCTTCACCTCACTCTTTTTGTTCCATAGCACTTACCATCTTCTAACTAACGTACAATACGGTTTACATCGTTTACTATTTGTCTTTCTGACTCAGCCACAAGACCATCAACCCCCAGCGGGCCGGAATCCTTGTTGTGGTGAGTGATGCAGCCCAAGTGCCTACTACAGAGCCTGACACACAGTAGGTGTTCCGTACGTACTTTTGAGTGGACGGATAAAAGGAATGATGAGACATAGGAAGTGAAAGAAAGATACTGCAGAATTTCCTGCAGAACTGTAATTAAAAATAAATGGGCACGAGAGTCTGGAAGAAAACACGGCAATTGTCGACGCTGATTATAGATTTGGGGATTGCGGGTGATTTTACTTTCTTTTTCATTGTTTTTCAGATTGTCTGACTCTTTCTTGGTGTGCGAATTTCACCTCTACAGTCATATAAAAATGTTGAATGTAGAAAAGAAGGAAAAGAGGTGGGGTCTTGAACCAGCACGAGCAGCCAATGGGCTTGGGTGCGAATCAGTCACAGCAACGTGGGTGCCCTGGTGGTGGCGGCACCCTATGGACCGTCACTGGTTCCTGGAAATACCAACCCCACCCACACTGGTAGGAGTTGCTGGGGATGTCCTCCTTTTTACAGGCCTGGAATTTTCATGTCATTAATGCCCCTTGGGGTGAAATTTTCTTCCTATTGGCCACTTCACTTTCCCAAAATCAGCTGAAACCTGTTGTAAGATGATGTAATGTTTTTATACTACTGTAGTTTGAATCTAGGCTCACATGGCAAGTTTGAACATTCAGGTGTGATGTAACTAAAATTTATTAGAGGATTACTTGTGCATGAGTGGCCTGGGACATGATTGCCTGCTGCTCTTACTAAGAGCTGCATCGATGCTCTGGTATCCCCTTAAAAGAAGGAATGACATTCCAGAGCAAGGGTTGGTGGCGGCGCAATCATGCATGGGCCCGGGAGGAAACAAGAAGCCACGGGGAGCAACGATGACCAGCCAAAGTATCCACAGGCCCTCGCATCACCGGATGTGCTGAAATATCAGAATCGCAACTCTCATTTCTCCTCGGGAGCATGGGCCTCCTTGCAGCTTCCTTTTAAGCACTGAGTTAGACTCCAGTCATACTGACCTGCAAGAAACTGGGGCCAGGTCCATAGGAAGAGGCTGCAGCTGGTTTCTGGGAAGCAGGTGTGGTTGAGGTGTGTGAAAGGCAATGATGAGTGATGTTTGGCTCTTGCTTCCAACTATATTTGAACATCTTCTAACCGCAGAGCTATGGAAGGTTACTACCTATTGATGATATTAGCATAGCGAGGGGTAAGCTCTCAACCATCTTGAGTTTAAACTGAATTTGTATGTAAAATGGTAAATCCTTCACCTCCTGTGTCCTAATGATTCCTGTTTCTCCAGAGCACTTATTACTATCGAAAATACTACACATTTATAAGGCTATTGTCTGTCTCTCCCCAGAACTTAAGCTCCAAGAGGCAGGGATTTTGTCTCATGTATCTCTAGTCTGAGAACAATGCCTGGCACAAAATAGATACTCAACAAATATTGGTTGGGAAGTTGGGAGTGTGTGGAAAAGAGAAAGAGAGACAGACAGACAGACAGAGACAGAGAGAACCAAAGACAAGGAGAAGTACTTTTATAAAGAATGTTTCCATTTATTTTATTATTTTAAATCTTAACCTGCATAACATGATGGTTAATTGCATTTAGCTTAAAGCATCTCCATGACATGAACTGAAGACAAGCCCAGGTTTGAACCTTTGCTGCTCTCCATCAGGTCCAGTGGCCACAGCAATCAGCCCTGGAACATAATTTGCATCCACTGAGGCTATGACAGCCCCAGCTGCAAGTAACTCAGAGGGTTTTCTCAGGGTGATGAAGGAAAGGGGGTCGGTGACCACTTATGATGGGCGTTAGAACAGGGTTCTGACTGTGCTTCCGTGATAGCTTGTGGGCTGCCTGAAATGAGGAGGTACCTGAGAGAACATAGGGAAGGCTCATGGTGCCTGGGAATTCCGGGGTACAGAGACTCAATTCTTTCACCGATAAACTCAAAACAGGGTGCCAATCCCCCCAAAGGATACAACTCAATAGAGGACCTAAAAGAAACTTAAGCTTGAAGTTTCTGAGAAGCAGCATCATTTCTCTTCCTTCCTACACACATTCTCTCACTTGCTCTAATTTCTCCCTCTCTTCACACTCACACCCTTTACAAGACCCCGCAGGCCAGATCCGGGCGGAGGACGGACACCACACCATGTGTATGCACAGACATGCTCGTGCGTGGTCCCTCCGCTGCAGCGCCCTCTCGGTGGTGGGGCTGACTCGCTCACACGTTGGTGTGCTGAGACCCTGAGGACGCGATGCTGCCCGGCTGGCTTCGGCCCGAGGGTGCCGAGCTGGCCGCCCGGCTCCTCCTGCTCTGATGTCCCGCTCCCTGGCTCCTGGGGTCCGGCTCATCCATCAGCTTGAGCTTCTCGTGCTCCTCTTTCAGGAAGAAGTCCACCAACAAGCTCTTTTCTTTCTTGATCTGGTCGCTGATGTCCGTGGGGATATCTGGGATCATCCAGTCTACGAGGACGCTCAGGAACATCACCAGGTTCTGCCGAAAGCGAGGGAGAGAGTTGAGAGGAGAGGCCTGGCTGGGAACACTGGTGTGCCACCGTCCACCTCTGGCCTTCACTGTGACCGTGGTGGCAGTGGGGCTGGTGGCAGGGTGCAGCGGTGAAGAGCACAGACCCAGGAGCAGATGCCTCTGTGTGTATTCTGGCTCTGCTGCTTACTGGCGGGGAATCTTAGCCAACATGCATAACTGCCTTCGGGGTCTTCATGTCCCAGGTAGAGAGTAGAATAGTACCAGTTCCTACCTCTTGGAGTTGTGTGAGGATTGAATGAATCAATACCTCAGACATAGAGGGTCTCCATAATGTTAGCCATTGTGTCTTCCTCTCCTCCAGCCCATCTCGTGTGCCCTGTTCTGGCTTCTTGGCCTCAAAGCCTCCGGGCCCCCTGTTCCAGAGCTTCCTGGGAAGTGGCCACAAGGCCCAACGGCCTCTCTAGGGCTTTCACTGAGCCAGCTGTGTCTCTCTTCCTTGTACCCGACCCTCTGTCCTCCATGTCAGAGATGGGCCTCTGATGTCCACAATGAATTCTGGCCTCAGCCAGCCTGACTCGTCACTCACATTTACTACATCTTGCTCTCTGTTCCACTCTGGCCACTCTGGCCACCCTGGCCTGTCTGGGTCCCTTGCCTCCAGCTCTCCTTTACCAGTTCTAACTTTCCATTACACTTGTGATTGGCTTCCTTCTGTCTGCAGAGCCACATCTCCTTCCTCGTAAATATAGGTAGGATAAAACGACGTTTCCCTGGGAGCATTTTCTGTTAAAGTGGGTGAATACGTTATAACAGCGCCAGCATGGAAGGCCCAGTGAATGTTCATTCACTGCTTTGATGATCTGGTTCCCATTCAAGCCACCTGAGCCTATATACCCTCCCAATAACTCCTCCAACTGTGGTATTCTTCTCTGCCTGACAATTATATGGTCATGTGTCTTCTCCCCTCTGAAACACAGAACAGTGATGGAACCCAGATCGAGATGACAGAGCACTGCTGTGTCTTCCATGCTCTAAACCCATGCACAGCTCGACCTTGAACCCTGCATGCTCCTAGGAGCCAAGCAGAAGGCTTTGGGAACTGACTGCTGCTTGCAGAGGCTCCTGGCTGCCTTAGGTAATCTAGAGCTGCTTCAAGTTATACGCTCCTCTTTTAAACCAACTCTCTACAGTGTGAATGTTACAGGTGACATATGGTAAAGCGAGGAGGCTGCTGTTGGAGGGGCAGCAGGGGGCCGTCCGAGCAAATTTTCAAATATATCGCCCCATCTCTCCAGAAGAATGGCTGTCTTCTTTAGCTGAAAGACTAGCCGGTGGGCTTCTCCACTTCCTGGGCTGGGGTTGGGGGCAGGATATTTTAGAGCCCTCTAGAGATCGGCCTTCAGGGAGTACAAAAGCCTGAGTGAGTCTACGAGAACAGGATCTGGGCTTGTGCTCCAGCGCTGCTCGAAGACGGGCAGGACCCCGAGTGGGAACTGGGGCCTCGTGCTCGGAGAATCTCGGAGATGCAATTGGAGCTGCCGCTATTGTCCGTGATAGGAATCACTGGGCTCAAGTTTGCTATTCATTCAGAGATGGCAGGATGGCTCTGGGCCCTTCCCACCAGATGTCTCAGGGGCTAAAAACACCACCAACAAAAGAGGGAGGCAGCCGAGAGGGCTGGGAGAAAGGTTCCGGTGGGGCCGCTCGTCCGCATTAGAGCCGAGACTCTGGTTTCC